CTGAAGAAGAATTGTCTTGGGGATTAAGAAAAGCCTTGAACTTAAGATAAAAATGTTCTTTCTTCACAAATTAGCTTGTGGTCATACAGGTAGGTGTGCGTGGTGTCCCCCCCCCCCCCTGCTCTCTTTTTTTTACGATGATTGCTCCCTTCAGCACCGGGGTTTGGCCCCAGAATCCTCTCAGCAAAGCGTACGGGGCTCCAAGTATGAACTAAAGAGCAGTCTGGGGCTTTGAAATGTGCTTGAGATCCTATTTGCCCTCAGTGGGAACTGGGCAGCTAACTTCTTTAAGGCTTTGAACGTTCCTGTTTACATCCTCCAGCCAAGCAGCAGTGGCACTCACCTCCCTGGTGGGTAGGTCAGAAAGAGGGAGGGGGGTGTCTAATTTTATAAAGTGATGCTCACTAGTGCTCATTAGGCTAGGTTCAGAGCCATAATGCTACTTCCTAAATTGTTTTATACACAAGAATCCAGCTAAAAGACAAAAGCTTTATTAAAATGAAGGCACAAGGGGTTTGGGCTTGCTTTTCTGCCTTTACAAAATAATTTATGTACGGAAAATGTTACCAGTGTAAATGAACTCAAAGGACATGACATTTTCAATGTTGCTCTAGGCGATTAGATGGCATTAAAAATTACCTTTCCATATGAACCTTGTCCTAATACTTTCAGCAGCTCAAACTGAGAAGGATCTGCTTTTTCAAAACCTTCCTTCACATGATGACTGATGTCTATTTCCTTCACGATACCTTCTTCCTGCAAAGGAAACAACAACAAAAAAAAACCCCAAATCAGAGCTGTTATCCTAAGGAAACATACTGTTTATTAAAATCTCATGTTCCGTGATGCTACAATCACGTATGAAATTTTGAAAACAGAAACAAAGGCTTGTCCAAATATTCTGTGTGCCTGTTACTGGCTGGGGAAGGTAATGTCAGGACAACCAGGCCTGCTGCTTCTGTTTATTGAGCTTCAAAATATGACTACGTAAAGATAGAATAACACAAGCTGAAACACAAAAATACACTGCAGAGCTCGGTGTGCCCATCACAGACCTTGCTAGCAGAGTGGCATGTACTCAGATCTGTACTACAGAAGCTCCAGCATGCTTCTCTCCACGTACTTTCTCATTCTCCCTCAAAAGCATCGTTTAAATCCATCTTAAAAAGTTCCCTTAGTCTTAAGCAGCAATTCTTCTTATGAGCAGGCAATACAGAAAAGGCATTGCTAAAAGCAGCTTTCCCCATTTACCTCAAGGGATAGAAAGTTACTACTGGTAACCTTCTAAATAGAAAAAAAATTAACGATTTAGATGTGAAAATGAGGTGGTGGTGGGGAAAAGAACGACACGCTTTCTTGCTTTCAGACATTACCTTCAAATATTTAGATGTGAAAATGAGGTGGTGGTGGGAAAAAGAATGACACGCTTTCTTGCTTTCAGAAATTACCTTCAAACGCTTTGGATTTTTCTAGGTTCTTTTGTTAAAATATTTCCACTGTCAATAGATGCACGTTCCTCAAAGACACTGGTTGAACTAGAACTTTTATCTTGCAAGCTATGACATGTGGCATTTGTTTTAGTTGTTTGTTTTATGTTATTTCCACATGTTCCTCCAAAAAGAGAGTGACTGGGTCATGCGAGACCCGGAGGGACTGCACAGAGTTTGCAGCAACCCAGAAAGTCATTGAACTGAAAAGAAACCTGGAAGAAAGGATCTGCTCTTCAAGGACACAGTGGTGAGGAAAGACAACAGTTACATGCCTTTTTATTTCTGTGGTGCTTTAGACACTCATATTTGAGCTTTTTTTTTTTCTGTTCAAACTCCTTGTTCTAACTTCTCTACAACTAAAATGTGGATTTTGAGCACAAAACCTTTTGGTTTCAGTCTCCCTGGTCGAAGGGTATTACTCATTTAGGAATAGGTTTGAATATTTCTGCACCCAGTAGAAATAATTTTGAACCTCATAAACATTATTTTTACACGGAGTTTTCATGCAATTATCCTTTTTCCCTGAGAAAATATCTTGATAAAACCTGGAAATATAAGATTTGTTTCCCATTCTTAAAAATTAATGCAGAGAAAACAGAAATAACATCCTAAAATGAAAATGCATTTGCAAAAACATTTGGCAAAAACACATTCATTTCATAAACAAGAATAAATTTGATTCCCTTCTCCTCCAGAAAAATTGCTATCACTTTCTACCAGCTGTAATTCATCTGATGCATGGCTAGTGTTACCTGGATTGCTCGCTCTATGGTAGCGCCATCCCTCCTCTTCCCTACCCTGTCTCTTTACGCTCACGTGCTCTGGAACAGGGACTATACCCTCCTCTTGGTTTGGAAAGCTTCCCCTACTTTGTGCATGCTACCAGAATCACAGAAAATAATCATCATCTCACAGCAACATGTTTTTCTGATTCCAATTCCTCTAGTTTAAGGTTTACTTGAAAGGAAACGCTTGAAACCAACGACCAGTTTTCATAGAGAGATTTAAAGTTTGTCGAAGTACATAACTGCCAGGATCTCTCCTCTTGTTTTTCTGGCTTGAATTGCCAGAAAATGTAATGTAAATGAACGTGGTTTGGCCAAATGTTTTTGTGAATGCATTTTCATTTTAGGATGTTATTTCTTTGCAATATTAAAAATACTAATTTTTTTCAATTTTTTTCTAGGTGAGAGAAACAATAGCAAAGTGATATAAATTGGATACTCTCAAAGGCTCCGCCAAGTTCTGAAGTATTAAGCTTTCATATGGAGGGGATGCATCTTTAGGTAAACTGCCTGCAGCTGAGAGACTCACATATTGGTAAGAACATTATTTTGAGCTTAGCTCACCCTGCCACACTGCAACTTAGGTGAAGTATCTGGACTGCAGGGCTCACCAACCATCTTATTCAGTAGTTACTCACCAAGGCTGAAAATTACTCCCCATAGAGTCCTGAATCACCTCTACACCAGACCGTGTATGCTTGGGAGTTTGCTCTCCATTGAGCGCAGGCAGAGTTTGGGAGGACTGGCTTCAGTCTCTGTGTGTCGACACCCCCCTGACAACCATCGTATGATGAAAAAACTGCACGGGGCTTTCTCAAGCCGGTGCAGCTTGAGGGCACCTAGTCTCCATTTCACAATTTTGCCCATCTCTCTTTTGCACAGAAGCGCAGCAAGGACCGTCCGCTGCAACCAGGTGAAGCAGCATGTGGACCCGAATTTTGAAACATGTTCAGAAGACAAAGCTCTGCAAAAAAGAACCTAACCAGAGCTCTTCCTCAGATTTATTCTCCTCCGAGCTGACACCTTGCTCACAAAAAACGTGGATGAGATCTACCACAAACAGCAAAACCCTTTTTAATTCAGTCAGATTGTATTTCAGCCTGAACCACGGAGTCACTTCAGCTACATTTGCAAGTTTAAATGATGAGTGAGTTTCAATTTGTCCGTCCATATTAGTCATCCAAGTCACAGGCCTACAACCTTAAGCATATTTCCCATTCTATCATTAAATTTAATATAACCTCTTTAGGTTCATGAAATGTGTTCAATTACAGGAATGTATGGGAAGTATTAAAGTGATGATAATTCAGTTTGCTAGAAGAATGATTAAAAAATTCTAGCATTACCAGGGCATAATTAATTCATAACTTGCAATAAAAACAACACTTTAATTACTTGCATCTTTAATTAAAATCCCAGAAAAAAGGTTATTTAAAAAGAGTGGGACCAAATACAAGGCCTAGCAGTGTTTATCAGAGAAGCACAGATTTTAAAGACTGGAAAAAACCTGTTAGATTACATGACTTCATAGAAATATAAAAATATTGGTGAGAAGGGGCTTCTACGGGTCATCTAGTCCAACACTCCTGCCCAAAGTATCACTGACACTTGATCAGACCAGCTCATTTTTGTCCACTGTGGTTCACAGTTTCTCAAACAATGAGACTTGAGCCACTTCCTATGACAGATTATTCCCTTTCCATCTGCCCACAGTCATGTTGAAGCTCCCTGCTCCACGGGTCCTTAGGGGGAAGCAGGATATTTTTCTAGGAAAGCAGGATTTCCTGCGGTCTTCTCACTAGAAAGGGGGAGCAAAGCAGCCCTGAAGAAAAGCATGCCAGACAGCTCTTCTTTCACCGATCCTCACTACAGTGGCGTTACTTGTGACCTGTCCAAGAGGTAGATAGTATTTTAGCTGGTGTGACAAATCCACTTCCCACTGGAGCAAAAAGCCAAACTATCAGTACTTGAGACTGAAGAGAGACACAGCCCCTTCAAGGAAATATATGCTGATGTGTTTGCACACATGCATCCATTTGCCTTGCAAGTATTCCTATATTCTTATTACTTATTTTGCTGCATGAATTCTGGAATGACTTCTGTTTGTTTGCTTTACCTTACCGAAAAAAAACCCGCAAAGAACAAACAGTTTTACCAACAGGTTCCCTTTTATTCTTTCTTTCTTTGTATTTTCCCCTATCATTTATGTCTTTTGAAGTCTCCCTATATTAAACTAATATGGAACATGGCACAATTTTTCTCAGGTACTGCTGATCACAGTCAAACTCAAACTGTCAGGGCGCAAGCATTGTGGGCAGATCTCCCAACTATTTTTGCTCTGAGTTGCATCTTAGGGACTTCTCTAATATGGATTTTTTTTCCTCTGGTCCAGCAAGTACAGCATATCTGCATTAGCAATTTGCACAACAATAAAAAAACTGAGGCAAAGAGATTCACAATACAGACAAAGCCTGCACACTGAAGAATCTGTTTTGATAGAGAAGATTTCACTCTGGAAAAAACCACGAGCCAACCAAAAATGGTTTTGATCAGTGAAGTTGATGGAGTCAAAAACAAATGTTCCACAGTTTGGTCTTGCAACAGCTGCGCACAGCAGCCCAGGCTCTTGCTCCCTGCTGACTTGTCCCGACACTGCATTAGCGGGAATGCTTGACTTGATGAAGCTTAATCTTTTGTAAACTTCGCTAAATATTTATGTTTGCACAAAAAGCGTCATCCTGTGACAAAAGTGAGATGGATGTTCTTGGCAGCTTCAAGAAAGCACATGGTCGAGCAGTACAGACTAGGGGAGGGAGGACAATGAACTGGAATACATGACAAAAGAGGAATGGAGAGTGCTTCTGCGTGCTAATACAAAGAAAGACCTATTCAGGACCTGATTCTATATTGCATTATTCACTTAAAGGCTTCCCCCCAAGCCCCGCAAGTAGGCAGTAGTTTTGGACACAAAGTAACCCAGTATTTGAATGGAAAGGCCATTTTGATCTCCTTTCCTTTGGGATGCAGGAGAAGACAGCCTCTGTTCGTGCCATTTGACTGTGGATGGCACAGATACATCTGTTTTGGTGTTTCTGGGAGGCAGTTGCTCCCCGTAGCACTGATCTCAGCTCACTTCCAAGATTTCCTCATGCAGATCTTGGAGAAAGAGAGGCACTAATGCTTGGTGACTGCTGGAGAGCAACCACAGAAAACTCTTCCAACAGCAATAGTACTTCCCGACTCACTGTCGCATGTCTGAGTAGGATCGGGAAGCGTTAGGGTATAGACCTGGGAATGGGGTACAAAAAGTCACGCAAAAGGGCAGGCCTTCCTGGAAAGTAGCTCTTTTCTCTTCAGCTGTACAGCCTCTTATCTTGCCTGCTCCACAGCGTCTCAGCAGACATTGTGGAAAGAGTACCTCCTAGAAAACAGAGAGGTTTAACCCCTTTTGGAGTCCCATCTGGCTCCTCCCCAACAGGTTTCTGAGGGAGCGGAGCTAAGGTCATCCTCAAATCCAGAGACCACCTTAATTGTGCCCATATACTTCAACCACATGCAAAAACTTTCCTAAGACTTCCTGAAATGGTCTGAAATATCCGGAGAGGGGGTCATTCCAGAAGCAGCTACTTTTAGCGATGGACAATTTTATGGAACCATATCACATGGGAAAAATTTATGGTGCTAATGTAAGATCATTATTGTTTTGCAAAGTCAGGAAGACAGGATTCTTATTTTTATTCCTCGCCTGGTCATCTCCCCAGTTGGACAGGATCAGGACTGCCATGCAGGTATGGCTGTAAGGGGTAAGTGTCATTTTCCAATAAATGTGTGCAGTTGTGATATGCAAGTTCTCCAGTCTTCAGATCTATTGGGCTTGGGTGCTTTAGGGCCTGAGGCCAATGAAGAAGTGAATGAAAATATGGCAAGAGGAAATAAGAAATAATAGTAACTCTAAAGAGAATTTATTGAGAGAATTGTTATTTGTCTATAGCATATGCTCAAGGTACCGATTTTATTTTGTGACCAGTCTTACCATTTGGCAGATTACCACCTAATATAAACCCAAATCACAACTATTTAACTTCCAAGTATCAGTGGTAACACAACATTCCAAAATAATACGGTTCATTAGGAAAGTATGTTTGAAACTCTGATAGGGGAACAGTTAGGACAGGATATGTCTGACAAAGATGAGGCCAGGTTTCCACCTCCGTTTCACAGGTTCTAATCTGGCTCAACCCATAGGAGAGTAATTTTTGTCGAGACGTAAGAGGCTATTCAAATGCTGCCTAGTACAGGGAATGAATTGCTGGCCTGTGTTCAGCTCTTTGGGGACAAGTATCCACACTAAAAAAAAAAGCATAGGAGAACTTTCATTAGCTTCTTCCCAAGCCAGTCTCCAGTAGCTAGAGTGAAATTTGAAAAAGAAATCTTTCCTTTTAAATGGTTCTGGCTTCTGTTGTGGTCTGGAAAAAGTAAACTGAGCAATAATACCATAAACGGGTCTGGTGGTTTTGTTCTCTACTGTCAAATTACCATTGGCTTTAGCAGCAATGAATGGGACTTATGGAGCCCTTAGAGAAGCACGTGGAACTCACAGGGAATTCACTGGATGTTGTGCCAGGTCTGTATTTGGCTTTCAAGCGTAAGGTCATCCACCTTCTCAAAAGGTCATATAGAGATAGAGAACATGCAATAATTTTTAGAGGTTGGGATTTCTTTCCTAGACCTTTCACAAATGTGAATAGAAAGTGTTATCTTGCATATGGAATTCCACCAAACAGGTCAAAACTTAGTGGAAAACAAAAACCTTAGAGCAATTTGTGTGGAGTGCCATGCTATCAGTCCCTGTTAAATTCAGCAGACCCTTTTCCAAAGAGAACACCTATTACAGTCTCTTTAGCACTTCTCTCCAGCTCCAGTTTTTAATACCACATTTTTAGTTTCTTCTCCCTAACGCATGTCTCTACAGTTGAGGTTCTGCTGAAATCAAACAAATTAAACGTGAAGAGAGGAATCACAGAGAGCAAAGGCAGCAAATACAATCTGCTGGATATATACTGGTGACGTCCGTGAGTTGGAGGTTTGAGTATTTGGGAGATTTGGGTTCAATCTTTTGCACTACCAGGATTCAGCTAAATAAATGCAAGTATTTATAGTGTAGGAGACAATGTTTTGAACTAATTGTCCAGCCCTACTTTGCAGTTATGTTAGAGAAGTTAGAGAAGTAGGCACTCCACGATTAAAAGAGACCAGATGAAGTCAGATCCTAACCGTGCGCATTTCTCTCTGCTGACAAAAGAAAGCCTCTGATGAAGAAAGCCTCAGATAACTTGCTGAGATAGGGGCTTCTGCAGTTACGAGATGAATTCATGTTTACCGTAAAATTTTGAAAAACACCTAAATAGAGTAGTATTGTGGCCAGATTTTTAACAGCATTACAAAAAAGATGTTTGCAGATACATGCTATGGAAATTTTAACAGAACTTATACTGAAATAAAACATTTTTCAAAAGAACTTAGATACTTGAAACATCCAGGCTTTTAAAAAACACTCCAAGGTGTTGGGAGTAATCCAGTTATCAAGATTTTGTAGCTCTGGTAAATTAGACCGTTAATTCTACCTTCTCCTCAACGTGAAAAATAGGGATAAGTTGCTTTTTCCTATTTCGTGGCAATACTGTGAGAATTAACACAGAAAAAAATGTGACATTATCTCATACTTCAGTAATGGATAGATAGACAAAACATCTGAAATGTATCCAGTAACACATGATATCAGGTGACCTACAAACAGATTCTCCTTTAGCTCAGACCAAGACATTTAGGTCTTGAAAACTGGTGTTCTTTATCTGATGACTATCGTGTCTTTACAGACTCGGTTCCTGACTAGGACAAACACATACAATACAATGACTGTGAAGATGCAGGAGAACCATCTTCCTATTCAAAGTGCAGATTATACATGAAGTAGACGCCAAGTCTTGATCTAACTTTCAACTCTGGAGTCAAATCATTAGCCAGGGTAAACTCTAATCTTTATGTTAATTCTGGTGCAAACAGCAATAGTTTATGTGGAGTGGTGAGTAGAAAGAGCTCATTAAAAAAACTATTGAAGCAAGGTGTTAAAAAAAACAGACCAAAAGCAGAACCATCTGGTCACAAAAAATATAAACAGTTGGCCAGCCTTACTCCTACAGCAGCGCTCTACAAATACTCAAATACGTTTGTGAACTTTAACAGAAACAGTCTCAAAATGAGTCACACCATTAAAGGACAAAGAACTCGGCTTATTGCTCTAAGCTACAATAAATAAGAGCAGGAACATTTTCATCAACATCCTACTTGGCATAGTTTACAGGTGTGCCTTCAGCCTTCACATCTCAGAAGAGCTGTAAGGTCCACCACCGCTGTTTCTGCTGGTGAACAGGCCAAAGAAGAATACCTGCTGTTCATTCACCAAGGAACTAACTGCAAGTCTGGATCCAGTGCCTAGAAAAATTTGTTGTTACTCCTAGGAGGGTAAGCTTGTCTCTCTAGGATGATGCTATGTCACCACTAAACAGGGTTATGAAGACTACATGCAGTAGTAGGGGACAGTACACATCACAGCATTTAAAAAAACACAACAAACCCCCAAAACTCTGACTTCATACAGAAGGCTTTCAAATTTTACCCTCCACTGCAGCTCAAGTCCTGCTCCCAGGTCAGTAACGTGCCCTGCACGCTCTGGTCTGAACCACTCGCAACCCCTCCATGAGTGGTGGCTTGGGTGGCTCCCACTGGAGACCCTCCCAGGGTTGCCACCGCCTCCCGCCACCGCAGCCTGCTCACCACAGCTGCTGCAGTGTGCCAGCAAGCCCTAACGTGACAGTCCTAACATGATGGCAACCCATCGTTCATGCACTTCCACGACAGGGTACAGGTACCCCCCACATCCCTATGTCCCAGCTTTCCATCTATAAAATACAGGTAAGGCCATCTTCCTTTTTCATGGAGTTTCTGGAGTAGAAGGGCACTGGAAAGACTATGAAACGCACAGATACTATGATACTAGACTGAGATAAGAAAGGCGGCAGACAAAAACATCTATCTGTTTAGGATACTGTTCAAGAAATATAAATACTTACTACATGGCTCTAGTTCTCTTATTGCTGTACTCAGCTGCTTCACAGGCTAGAAAAAAGCAGTGTCTGATGTTTTACTAGTGCATTTGAGTGTGAAATAAAAACTCCAGCTGCACTAGGAAGATAAACTGCTTAAGCAAAATGTATTTGCAAACATTTCCTCACCGTTTCTTGATCCAAATAAAACACTGCTCACCATAGCAGTGTAAATGGCACCACAGCACAGTTAAGTAGAAAATACTGTAACAAAGCCCTGGTGCACTTGCATGGCAATTTTAAAGAACTGAATCATCTTTAATAAGTATATTAAAGGAAAAAGATCAGGTTTCATCTTGAAATGTGAGGCAGAGTGGACAAAAGGCTGTAATAAGAGGTAATCGCGTTACTGAAGTGTTGGATTAGTCAGTTTAGGAAAAATACCAGTCTGCTGTTTACAAATCACTTGTAGGGTTTGGTAATTATCATTTTCTCTCCGAGAGGAATACTAGCCTCCTAGCAAATTTTGTGTCCTCTCATTAATTAAATTAAGCATCAGCTAAGGGCTCAACCAGCTCATACTTCACCAACTGGAATACTGTTGCTACTACGTTAGGAAAAAATGTGTTGTCATGAGGTTTGTTATCTCAGTGGCATTTTACAGGCAGAGTATTAATAGGGAAAATGACTAATGTGAGGTCATTATGGAATCAAGGCAAATACAAATTAGTTTTAATGCTACTGTTCACAGCTTGGAGCGCCAGTGAAGGTACTGAAGGAGAGAGGGTGGTGGAGCTGAATCAGGCAGAGAGAA